TAGAACATAGTTAACTGCTATACGGTAGACTCATCCTTTGGTTAACAAACAGACAGTTCACCTACACTACAAGTGATGTAAATTAATAGTTGACAGTCTATCCATCCCAAGATTTCGTTAACCAACAGTCCACTAGGTCTGATATAACTTCTATGACAAGTGATGTGTTATTTTATTGGGGATAAAAATTTACTTGACTGTATATGAATTTAACTAACAAATTCTAAAAGAATGAAATTCATATTCTGAATTACAGTCCCAATAAAAATGAATTATAAACAATATATAATACACACTCTATTAAAATTATTTTGAATATAGTTAGTTGCCATGGCAAGTTTTATTTTTTTAATTTTTTTTTCAAGGATAATTATTCTATTTAAAGATGGGAAACAAACAATTTATTATATTTTATCATCTATGTAATCATTTATTGACTATAAGGGAAATAATAATAATAATACTAAGAAATAATCAGCTAATATAATAAAATAATGAAATTCATAATGAAATCAACACATTACCATAAAAGTTAACAGTTAAAATAATCCAAAAATGATAAACTCAGTAAGAGAACTTATTGAATTCTCAATATATATTCATTCTTTAAATAATCAGCCTATTGTTGAATAATGAATAAGCTTAGAACAAATTAACATAACTGTATGAAATAATAAATTATTTAACTTTAAGTAGAAAATACTATTTTTCATATGATCATAGCATCAACCAATGTAATCTCAATTATTCTTATACATAATGAATCTTTGTTGTTTTTTTTTTGTTTGTTTGTTGTTGCTCTACTGTTTCTAATTAACCTCTATTTGAATTGATAATAATGTATCTGATTCGATAGTTAATAAGATGATCAAGTGAAAAACTTTTAAAAGTTAACTGAAATATTAAAATTAAGTTTAGTAATTTCATGATTGATATATTAGGCTAATAACTTAAAAATTGTTAAATTCACTTAGTATTGTTTTACTTGTATTTTCCCATTTTTATTTAAGACTACAACGGATCAGTCTTATGTTGGCATATGTGCATCTTGTTTGAATTGCCTCGATATAGCCTTAAATCACATGCTTTTTAAGCAAAGATGGATAAAGTTACATCCAGCTGACGAGTCTCGAAAAGGACGAAACTCGCGTCCTGGATTCCATTGCTAGCCACTATACATCTTTGCTTAAGACTTTTTGTTTAGATTACTGTTGTGATCCAGGTTTTCTATTAAATTTATACCGAATTGTTAGAATAATTACTTAAGTTATTACAGTATATTTATCTCTGCAGAGATAGATATATATTTTAGATTAACTGGAATCAATCAAATACAGGACAAGAATTATAGTGTTGTGGTGAATTAACAATTAAGTTCTAAAAGTAGTATCAGTGTGATGTATGCTACTAATATCGACTGGTATAAGTAGTATATGACAACAACGGAACGTGGAAAACCTGGAAGCATAAGACTGAAATAAAGAGAACAACAAAAGAAATAGATAGGAATTGTAAATTGTAAGAATCATACAGAACGGTAGCGAGAATTGATAGGAGATATGCGGTTCTCATAATTTACGAAGATATTCTGTAATTTTGTATAAAACAATAAATTCGTTGTCCCCATTCTGAGTTCACTTCAGTAGTA